CTTCTGCTTCCGGCCTCTGGGGGTCTAAGCCGAGCCGAAGAAGTCCGAGCACGGGTGCTGGAGAGAGAATCCGCACCCGGGAGCAGGGAGGGCCGGACACGTGTGCTGAGAAGCCACCACGGCTCCTGGCCCAGCTGACCTTCGCCGACGCCATGTCTGGCCGTGACTGCCCGAGAGCCCACCTGAGGGCCGCCAGCTGCTCCCAGTCCCCCCACGGGACCAGGAAGAGGATGATGTCAAGCCGTGTTATAAATTACTGTGCTCAGGGAGTGTTTGTTACAGGGCAGTAGGTCACCAGAGCCCCGTCTGACCTGAAGCCACTCGGTCCCATGAGCCAAGAAAGCCCCTTTAGGTCTCAGCTCAGTGAGTTCTTTCTGCCGCCTACAGCTCTTCAGCCGACATTCGGCAGTCGCAAGGGACGAGGCTTCTCCTCCTGGCTCTGATGTCCCCGCAGGCCCTCAAGGGTGTGCACGTGGCTCCCTCCTTCCTTCCCACCTGCCACTCCGTGTAGAGGACACACTCGCCCCGGAGCTCGCGGCTTCTGCGGGGGGAGAGCGGGAGATAGTCCATCCTCGGCCGCTCACAAACGTACGTGGTTCAAGCCAGAGGCAGCTCTCGGCCTGAGACAGCCACGCGTCCGCCTACAGAGGGGCCAGCGCTGAGCTGATCCACACCTCGTGTCCATCCCAACCAACAAGACCCTCCACCTGGCCTGGCCGGTCCGACCTCCAGCTTTCTAGCACGTCCCAGGCATGGAAGTTGGACGTCCTCCCAGTTTTTGGTTAAGAGCTTTCCAGAATTGGGGCCTTGGACTCCTTAGTTCTAAAATGAGTAGGTGATGTCAAGGGAAGGTCCCAACCCCAGGCTTCTGAGCGGTTTCCACTCGGTAGGGCCCCGCTCAGGAGAGAGGAGGGGTGAGCCGCGGCTCCGAGTGCCGAGCCGGCACTGAGGACAGCCACCTGCCGCCCTCCCCGAGGAGCACCTGCTGGAGCCTGCGGGACTGGGGGCCTCTCTCCTACCCTGGGGAACATCCGGACACCTTGCAGCCGCTCACCATCAAAGGGGCCACCTCGGCCCCAAACCCCGGTTTTATAAGACCCTAAAACATCACCCAGACCCCCACATTTCAGCACGGTGCCGGCTGGCACGACGGTTTCTACCTGCACATTTTAAAAAGTCAATAATTGGCCGGGCGCGGTGGCTCACGCCTGTAATCCTGGCTCTCTGGGAGGCCGAGGCGGG